GCCCCCCCCCCCCCACACACACACACACAAATACACCAGGTCTCTTTATTTCAGCCTGCTGCAGACACGCATCTCGTGCTAGATCCTAACACTGATCCGTGAAGTTCCGGCCCCACCTCTCCAACACCACCAGAGTTAGTATGCCATTGCTCTGATCAAGAGAGGATCCTAGCATGGAAGTCCGGGAATCGCCATCAGGAAAGCCCTGTCTTTCTGCCTTAATTAGGTATCCTGATGGAGGCATAGAAGCTTAGTCTCAGGCTTTAAGTAAAGAGGACCAGAGTTCAGGCACTGCGTACCTAACAGTTGATCTAAAAGTGAAGACTGCTGGGGTGTACTATAAGGATATTTAGGAGGAAATCTCTACCCCGCTGGGACAGAACAGGGTGAAGCAAATTTTCATCATAATACTCAGAGTGGGATGGCAAACTAAAAACTTGTGAGTTAGTTATTTATGAAATCTGTAATATTTTGAACTATATTGTCTGACGGTAATTGAAATAGGAAAGCAAAACCCCAGCTAAGGGGAGACTCCTGTATCGATGTATTACTTACTAAGCAACAGAGCTAATAAGCTAATAACTGAAATGGGAAACGCCATCTTTTTATCATTGGGAATTAGAGATTAATTGGAGTAATTAAGAGGGAAATAGGCCACACGCCTCTGAGAGAAGGAACTCAAAATGAAGTATAGCAGAACAGGCTGGGTTATAACTCAGTCGTGGAACACTTGCTTAGCATGCACAAGACTCTGAATTACTGAAGATTTGAAAAAAATTAGGTTGATTTATGTGGGGGTTTCCCTTGGTCGGTTAGTGTTACTTTATTTTTGCAAAATGGAGATACTAATTTAGATGACTATAAAATTACATATTAGCAGTTGCATTAATTTTCCAAGATAAAGTGTTAAAGGCTGGGTGGTTTATGGAATAGAAATGTATTTTCCCATGATCCCAGAGGCTCCAAGTAAAAGAGTTGAAGGGCAGCCTGGATTATAGAGTAAGACCTTATCTCAATAAACAAGCCAACTGTAAGTATCATACTCTTTCGAGATGTTATCTGAAGCAACCAGATCTTCATAAGCATTGTACTATTCTGTTAGGGCAGTTGCATCCTAGAGGTGAAATACACTGGATTAGTGAATTCCATGGGCATGAGCAGATTGCAACTTCCCTTTTGCCACGAGATCAGTTTATTAATCTGAAAATGACAACAATGAGGCTCTATTTCAGACAATATGGCCACTTCACACATGAGTTCACTGAGAAAGCACTAGGGGGCCTGGAGAAAGTGAATGTCGTTCACCTCATTCTCTTATTGCAAGCTTTCCCTTCATACAATGCTCTATGTGGAGTAGCTTTATAGCCCATCGACTCTGCTGCCGGTTCCAAAAGATCCATCCAATACCTGGCTCTCAACTTTTTGCATCAGTTTTCCAATCTCCTCTGAATTCCTGATCATGTAGGTTAAAGGTTAGAAAAGACTCGTGAATCAGAACATATCTATACTCTGGCCATGCTTTACTCCAGACAATGGGGCAAACTTAATCCTTAGCAGAATTTCTCTCAACTCCCACCCACAGGACCACCTTTCATTAGGGTGTGGTTTTATGCCATCATATCATACAGAATCACTTGTAAAACTAGGCCTTGAATTTTCCCTTCCTCACTCCATCTGTTGTTTGAAATTCCTTATAAAACAACAGACGTGGACTGAGAGAATTTCTGCGATGCATTTCTTTTTATTCCTGCTTATGTCCAACATTTCAAAGGAATGGTTATGTCCTCTATTTGAAGGGAACAGTTTTTGCTATGTATATGCATGTAAATTTGGGGCTTGGTCCATTTCAGAAAAAGGAAACTCAATGTGGTCATTTGGTGTTATGTTACGATTAGCCATTCAATCTCTATACAGATGATCTCTTCCAACTTTTCATCACTTTTGTTGGTTTCCATTTGACACAATTCTTCTAGATTTCTTATTTTTCTCTCATCCCTATTTTGTTTATTTTACTTGTTTTTTTTTGTTTTTTTTTGTTTTTTTGCCTTCCTTCCTTCCTTCCTTCCTTCCTTTCTTCCTTTCTTTTTCAGACCAGACAGGGTTTCTCTGCGTAGCTTTGGAGCCCATCCTGGTACTCGCTCTGTAGACTAGACTGGCCTTGAACTCACAGAGATCC